TCCAGCTCTACACCTTGTTATCTCAGATTCTCCAGTATCTGCAGTTCCTACTATCTAGGGTGCATCATCAGCCTGGACAACAACGTTTTGATTAGTAAGTTTCCCTTTTGATATGTAAATTTCCAGTGACCATTAAAGTGTGTTTTTGTTACAGTGTGCCACATCAGGGATTGTTTAAATAAATTTTGTTTGTTTAAAAGAGCAGAAGCAATAGGCTGCACAGCCAGTTCTGGTGTAGTGGTTCTATTTGGCTGATTAGGATGGGGGGGGAGTGGCCTGAACAACTCTTTGAAACGGCTTGCACAGAGAAGGCTGGCTTCCTTCAATATTAGATTGTGTTCTGATCCTGTCTGTATAATCATCAGGGTGGTTGCTGAACAGTGAGCAAACAAGGCAAATTCCATTTCTAGTATAGAAATTTGGTGGATCCGATTCCAAGCTGCTTCCAGCTTTGTGGTTAATAATGTACAAACAGCATGCTGGCTTGATGTGGCAGCCTGGTTTAACTTTCTCTCCTCTTCCTCCTTGCAGGTATAAAGATGGGATGATTGTCATCATCGATATAAACCGGAAAGGGGAGGTGATACACAGATTGCGAGGTCATGATGGAGAAATTCATTTTCTCTCCTGGTGCCCTCAGCTCTGCGAGCCGCAGTTCCTCAGTGACATGACCTCAGGTAGGACTAGCTGCCATCACCCTGATTACGAGGTTAACATTCGAGGGGTGGCACGGTGGCTCAGTGGTTAGCACTGCTGCCCTCACAGCGCCAGGGACCCGGGTTCGATTCCAGCCTCGGGTGACTGTCTGTGTGGAGTTTGCACATTCTCCCCGTGTCTGCGTGGGTTTCCTCCAGGTGCTCCGGTTTCCTCCCACAGTCCAAAGATGTGCAGGTTAGGGTGGATTGGCCATGGGAAATGTGGGGTTATAGGGGTAAGGTGGGGGCAGGGTGGGGTAGGATGCTCTTTGGAGGGTTGGTGCAGACTCGAATGGGTTGAATTGCCTCGTTCAGCACTGTCAGGATTCTAATCTATGGTTCAACAGGTGCTCCACCTGCCTGTGCTTTAGTTAAATAAAGTGAAGAGTTTTCCTCAGTGCTGAACCACTACAGTCCATCATTAGTACAGTGCAGGCATAGGGTGTTTGCACGAACTGGTCAGAGCCCCTGATTCTATCTTGTAGGAACCTTATCCACCACATGTGTCACCCATCAATATTCCCTTGTATTAGCAACCCCCCCCCACTCCTCGGTTTATGCAGTTTGCTTTTAAATTTAATCGAAAGGATTCCCTCTGTCCTAGCAAGTACCACATTCTTAGCAGTATCTGCGCCAATGAGGAAGTTTCTCCTACAGTTAATGCTGCACCTCGTTTTAATTTACCAGGGGTAAATTTGAATTGATAATGTTTTGTTCTGTTCCTAGATACACTGGAGCTGAATGGTGAGCTCACGACAGAGGACGCTACAAAGGACTGTTTTCTGGCATCGGGAAGCAGGGACCAAACAATCCGAGTCTGGAACGCCACAAAGGGCAAAGGTAATTTTCACTTCCCAGGAGAAATGGCTTTCACTTTATTTCTTTTAAATCTTTGTTTCCCCAAAGGATGAAGTTGAACAAGAGATTTCTTTTATCTACTCCTTTTGGGAATTATTGATGTCTCACTAAATTTATTAACAGCTTAAATAATGGCATAGAAAGTCAAATACCTAGAATTACTGGTTTTACGTGATATGTTCTGATGAGGCCAACTTCGACAAGGGAGCCTCCAAAATGTCTACCTTCTTCCTCAACTTTCACCTGGTCTATCTCTGACTCCTCCCTTCCCTCCCTTAACATCTCTGTTTTCATTTCTGAGGATAGACTGACCGCTAATACCCACTATAAACCACTGACACCCACAGATACCTGGACAATACATCCTCACACCCCACTTCCTGTAAAGACTCCATTCCGTTCTCTCAGTTCCTCCACCTCTGTCATATAGGGTCAGATGAGGCCAACTTCAACAAGGGAGCCTCCGAAATGTCCACCTTCTTCCTCAACGAAGGATTACCCAGCACCGTCGTCGACAGGGCCCTCAACCAGGTCCAACCCATCTCCTGCACTTCCGCCCTCATCCCCTCTCTTCCCTCCCACAAAAGTGATAGGGTTCCCCTTGTCCTTCCCTACCATCCCACCAGCATCCACGTCCAGAAGATCATCAGCTGCCATTTCCGCCACCTCCAGCGAGATGCCACCACCAGACACATATTACCCTCCCCTCCCTTGTCCGCCTTCGGCAGGGACCGTTCCCTCCGGAACACCCTGGTCCACTCCTCCTCCATGATACGCTGCAGAAATTCACTACGTATTCCTGGACAGGACCTTCCAAACCCCTGACCAGTTCCACCTGGAAGGATAAGGGCATATGATACGTGGGAACCCCACCACCTTTAGCTTTCCTCTAAGCTATTTGCCATCCTGACTTGGAAGTCTATCAGCATTCCTGCAGTGCCACTGGGTCACAATCCTGGAATTCCCTCTATAATGGCGTGTGGACTGCAGCGGTTCAAGAAGGCAGCTCACGACTACCTTCTGAAGGGCAACTAGGGACAGACAATAAATGCTGGACCAGTGATGCTCAGGTTCCATGAATCAATAACAATAATTTTAAAGTGTTTTTTGATGGATGTTAAATGCATTGAGATGGTTTGAGGTCATGAATAAAGAAGGATCTGCGTTACAAGTAGAATTAAATTGTGTTTAAGATAACAAGGTGTAGAGCTGGATGAACACAGCAGGCCGAGCAGGAAGGCTGACATTTCGGGCCTAGACCCTTCTGATGAAGGGTCTAGGCCCGAAACGTCAGCCTTCCTGCTCCTCTGATGCTG